GCTGAGCGTGTGTGACTGGCCCAAGGACACCCAGCAAGCTTCCATAGCAGAGCAGGGATTTGAACCTGGGTCTCCCAGATGCTAGCTGACACTCTGACCACTACACCACACTAGCTCCCACATCTGTTGGCTGAAGGCATCCGACTCTGCTGAGCGGAGTGGCAGGATGCTTGCCAGCGTCTGTACAAGCCCTCTCTCATCTTTGGTAGTGGTTTTGCCTTCTTTCTCAGTAGTAGTAATAAGGAATAACAATGATTTAGCATCAGAAGAATCCATTATTTCAAGCTTAACCAGATACCTTCCCATTGTTCAAGCAGCTACTGAAATGCTTATGTTTCCTGGAATGCACTGATTGCCCAAAAGAAGGAAGGGGGTACTTGCCCTGGGGCTCTGGTCATGGTTCAGAAGCAATTCTCCATCACTGCACTTGCCCCAAATTGTTGTTGTTCAGTCGCACAGTCGAGTCCGACTCTTCGCGACCCCATGGACCAGATCACACCAGGCCCTCCTGTCTTCCGCTGTCCTCTGAAGTTGGCTCAATTTCATGTTCGTTGTGTCGATGACACTGTCCAACCATCTCATCCTTTGCCGTCCCCGTCTTCTTTGACCTTCAATCTTTCCCAGCATCAGGGTCTTCTCCAGTGAGTGCTCCCTTCTCATTTAGTGGCCAAAGTATTTGAGCTTCAGTTTCATTATCTGGCCTTCCAGGGAACAGTCAGGGTTGATTTCTTTTAGGATTGACTGATTTGATCTTCTTGCAGTCCAAGGGACTCTCAAGAGTCTTCTCCAGCACCATAGTTCAAAAGAATCTATTCTTCGGTGCTCGGCTTCCCAACAGGTTTTTCTACAGACTCAGTGGACTCCCTGGATCTGCAGAAAAATCCAAAAAGGAAAAAAAATCCCCCAGGGAGGGTTGGAAACCCCTCCCCCCAATACCTTTTGAAATGGCTGTCGCAGAGATCTACTCCAGGCCCCACTGCATGGATAGTGAGAGATACTGGCTGGGGGGGGGGGGGGAGAAAGAAAGAAAGGAGGAAGCAAAAAGCAGAACTGCATCTAGGATTGGGAAGGATTCCTCCTGCGGTATGAAGGGGGTTTGGAGCCAGGCCTGGGACTAGGATTGCCCACTCCAGGTTGGGGAATTCCTGGAGATTCTGTGGTGAAGTCTGAGGAGTGCAGACCTTGGGGAGGGGAGAGGCCTCAGCTGGATGTAATGGGATCTCCAGGTCCCATCTGGAGCCTGGCAACCCTAGGGCTAGCAGCACCCTCTGGGTGACTTGAGACCACCTGACTTGCATGATTCAACTAGGCCTGGCTGCTTGCTACTGTTCAACAGCAGCCACCCTATAAAAGTCAGTGCAGTAAAAAGTTCAGTGCTTCACAGCAGGGTTTGCGAGACCCAGGTTTAGATCCCCATCTTGCTGCAGAAGCTCACTGGGTGATTTTGGGCCAGTCACATACTTTCAGCCTAACCTACCTCATAGGGTTGTTGTGTGGATAAACAGGAGGAGATAATAATGTAAACTGCTTTAGTCTCCACTGTAAAGAAAGACCATAGTTTTCCTCAGTAGAAGCTGCAGGGGAAAAGGAGATAGAAAGTTGAAGACAGAGGGGCAGATAAAGGTAGGTGGGCTGCTGGGTGGGAAGAAGATAGGGATACCAACTCCAGGCTGGGAAATTCCAGGATATTTGAGGGGTGGAGCCTGGGGCATAGATTCCACCCTCCAAAGCAGTCATTTCCTCCAGGGGAACTAATGTTGCCAACCTCCAGGTGAGGGCTGGGGATCTCCTGGAATTACAACTGATCTCCAGATGATGGAGAAAATGGCTGCTTTGAAGGGTGGAGTTGATGGTATTATACCGTGCTGAGGTAACTTCCAGCTCAAACCTCATCCTCCCAAGACTCCACCCCCAAATCTCCAGGAATTTCCCAACATGGAGCTAGCAACCCTAAGAGGAACTGATCTCTGTATCTGGCCAATCCATTGTAATTCCCGGAGAGTAGCTACTGCCACTGCTGCTGTGGGTGAGAAGTAGGTGGGAGAACAGGAGAGGGGCAGAAAGAGTGATGGGGTGGGGGCAGAAAGGAAGTGATAGGCATGGAGGGGGAGAGAGAAAGAGAGTAAGAAAAGGGGGGTCAGGAAGGAGAAAGAGAAGTAGGAGGAGAGGGGAGGAAGCAGAGGTGGGGGAAATGAGATAGCCACTCCTACAAGTTTCTTGCGGGTCCCCACTTGTACAAGTATAAAAGGGAAGACTGTAGCAGGGTCAGTCCTGGTGTGCTGCCACCATAATGCAAGGGGCAACATTGGCACGTGTCCTGTCTTGTATTTCTGGTTTGGCACAAAGGCACTAGACATGCAGCAAGAAGGAGCACGGCTGTCCTTTCCTATTCCCTCTGCTCTTGATTTGGAAGCCACACAGTTACAAAAGTCAATGGATCGCATGAAATAATGACAACAGTGGTACAAAGCATAATAAGAAGTGCTTTTTCACTTGAGTAGAATGGGAAGTTGTTTCTGCTGCACAAAGTGCAGTTTTGTCCAGAGGGTTCTCACTCGGTGAGAACAACACGGTGAAACATGTTAGCAGGTCCTGGCTTTGCCCTGTGAATCTAGAGGTTCTTTGATATAGCCCCTCAAGAAAGAAAGAAAGAAAGAAAGAAAAAGAAAGAAAGAAAGAGTTATGAAAACTGGTGATAAGAACATGCACAGGTGTCCTAGACCTGACTGATTGTCTGCAGCCTTCCATCTGAGATATTGGTGGCACAAAAACACAGCTACTGCATGAGCAACAAGATCTGATTTTTCACTCAAAGGGGTCCAAAACTGTCCTCTCTGTGTGCGCTTAGTTCCAATTCCATCCTGCCTTGCTTTGATTCTTGGTTAGAGGATATTTTATTCTGACAAACCTGGACCACACCCTTTCTACAGCAAAGGGTACGAGTACAAAGCATGTTCATTTTGAACTGCTAAGAAGTCACAGTTGTTTGCTAGCAGGTGACTGATTGCTACAGTGGTCCAAAAGGCAGCCTTATAGTTTCTTTTGGCCACCTGGAAATTTTATTTAGGAATGTTATGAAATTAAGCTACAGCTCACCGTGCAGGTGTTCTAAGGAAGAATTTACAGGTACTTCCATTTGGGCTGTTACAGGCTGAACAGATGCACTGCCCCAGAGGCCTGGGATATCCATGGGAACGGCAGTTGGAAGAACGGCCTGAGCGCATCTGCTGAAAGCAGCGGTAGTTTCCCGCTGCTCGGGGGAGGGTTTGCCCTGCCATCTCGGGCAAGGACTGTAATGCAGAGGGGGAAAGCACAAGCTTGCCTCAGTCCACTCGGCTCGCTGGTGACACAATACTGACCCTTCCACCTGGCAAGCGTGCTGGAGGTAGCAGCATTGTGGCTCTGCTCCCCTGGGGCCCCCACGGTGAAGACCTGTGGGTGGTGGGGGATTGTGACCATCCTATCCTGCCAGCCCCACCCCTCCAAGCAGCCTGCTGTCCACCCACTGGCCATCACATCCGCACACGAGCCTGCATGCATCAAGGGACTCGGGCGCCTGTTCACAGACATCACGACAACCCACCCAGTTGGTGCCACGCACAGGCTCTACACGGTCTGAGCCAGACCTGAGTCCAAATCCATTATTTTTAATGTTAGAAAAATAGTGATGTGAAACTATTTTCTAGGAGTTACTTTTACTTTCCTGCCTTTTAATGCTTGACAAGATGAGGACCAACGGCAGGGAAGGAAGTGTTGGCACGGTAAAGGAAAACGAATGACAGTCTTCAGTCACTTAAAAGGAGGCAAAATGCACCGTTTAGTAATAACAGTAACAGATCTGTCTTCCTGACACCACAGTTAGTCCTCACTGCTGGAGGAGTGTGAGCAGCCCTTCTATGGCCTGCACGGCATCACACAGAGGACACCCGGCAACAAGGTCTCGACAGGCATCCCAAGATCAACAAGGCGCATGTGCCGCACTCCCCCCCCCCCCGCAAAGAAAGTGAAGCAAAGGCAAGTCCCACTGGAATAAAAAAGGCTTATGCACACATGCAGTTGTAAGTTGAAGCACAACGGTTGCGGTGGGATTTCAGCACCATTAACGTCCTGTGGTTTGCTGAACCCCAGTATTGGTTTCTGCCATAGACAAAAATATCAGGTGGCTTCAGTTGAAACTGAACCCTTCCAGAGGCGCTGGGCTTGAAAACCCAGAAGTGGGAGCAGCACGCTGGAACAACCCACTGAAAGAAATGGCACGAGGAAGTCGCTCGGGCCTTCACGTCTCCCCGCTCCTGAAAGTTGACTTCTCGGTATGGAGGTATTAAGATAATAAACAAACCCCAGCTATTGAAGAGCAGAGTTTTGACAAATCCATCTCTAGCTGAGAGCAGTACAAAGTTGATCAGATGCTAATACCATGATCCCCAGCAGCAATGTACTTCCAGCGTATGGTTTCTGCCCTCCCGTTAATGAGACCGTCACAATGGAGGCATCTTTCAGGACAGAGTCTTATTTGGCAGACTTTTCAGCATCAAATGGGTCCCTAAGATTTGAGTGTGCTGCAACCCAGGCAAAAGGAAAAGGCCTTGTAAGTTCCAGCATGCCTAATCACAGGGCTGCTAACGTTTTAGAGGGAGAGGCTTGATTTATTTTTTAAAAAGGAGATGTGCACAGATTTGCTGCACCACTGCTCGTGGTACAAGAGTACTCGAAGGTCTGCGATATACTAGCACAATTCCCAGAGGGGCTCCTATGAGGGGATGTTCCTTCATACAAAACAAAAATAACCTTCCCAGTACAGAACTAGATATCCAGGAGAAAGGTTCTAGCCTTCTTCGCAATGTGCGAGGTTTGTTTTTTTTTTTTAAATATGCAGGAGTATTCATATGCAGGTGCCCCGGGACAGCCCGATCTCGTCAGATCTCAGAAGCTAAGCAGGGTTGGCTCTAGTTGGTAGTTGGATGGGAGACCGCCAAGGACGTCCAGGGTCACCGCGCAGAGGCAGGCAAGGGCAAACCACCCCTGTGAGTCTCTTGTCTCAACAACCCTACAGGGTTGCCAGAGGTCAGCTGCAATGACGGCTCTTTCCGCCCTGACCACGAGTGGGGGGAGGGGCCTTTCATAGTGTGACCCTTGGTACTGGTACAGCCCAGACAGCAAATAGGCTGCTACTTGGCAGTTCCAAGGCAGATAATCCCACTCCAGAATGTTGCTCTGGGGTTGTTGGTTTTTTGGGGGGTGGGGGGTGGGGTTAATAGATTTAAAAACTACAGACACCTGCTGTGAGGACTGGAGCTCCGGCCACCTTTCCCCTACCCCAAGGAGGATGCATTTCAAGACAGAAAATGCCGGAGTCCCTCAGAGTTAGAGACTGCTCTGTCATGTTATGTACAGCCAGCGGGTCCGGGGCACACCCAGGCTTTTCTAACCATCACGCCTGGTTTGGCAAACATGATTCCTAACAGGGAAGCCTCTCCCGTTGACTATCCACGGGCAAAACCGCTTCTTGCTGTAGAGCCATCCCCACTCCGGCGAGATGAGATAGCTGTCGTTGTGGCATTTAGGGATGCATTTGCACAAAGAGTGTTCACTTGCTTTGCATTAAGACACAGATGAGGAAGCGGTCATGAATGGCATTCATCACTCGCAAGCTGCCATGTGGGAAATCAGGAACCCTCAGGAACTCCTGGAATCGTGACCAAGGGAGCCACCTTGGAGAGCTGGGAGGAGCAGCTGGTGGTTATGCCTTCTTGTCCTGAAAATCCATTTGCCTCCTTCCTGTGCTTTCCTACCCCAAGAGTCCATCATAGGAAGCAGCTGATGAGAGGAAACTGTAATTCAAAAGGGGGGGGGGGAGAGGCATAAGAATATGTCTGATTGCAAGTAAAATCACATTCTCCTCTAAGGGCCAAAACATATGTGGCAAAGACGGCGGATCTCCAACGTGGGTTGGATCCAGCCAGCTTCCCTGCTGGTGAAAGGAGGTAGAAGTGTTTCCTTTGACCACCCACAAGGTCTTTGCTGGGGAACACGGGGCCTGTGTGGACAACAGCCATATAGGCCAGGAGGGGGGAACTGTAGTAAGGCGGGAATCATACTGGCTGGATCCAGCCCTGGGCGTTTGGACAGCTGTGATTCAGAATGGTGATGGGCAGGAAGCAAGGAGGGAATTCAGTTCTTTAACTGTCACTCGCTAGTTGAAAGCAGGTTCCCCGTGATGCTAGGGGGAAGAGGATGTGCTCTTTCAAAACTTGCAAACAGAGCTAGAAGAGACCTCAGGGGTCATCAGCCCCCTGCACCACGCAGGGAATTCACAACTACCTCCCATTCCCCCAGTGGCCCCTGCTTTGTGCCCAGAGGGAGGAAAAAACCTCCAGGATCCCTGGGCCAATGTCCCTTCTAATCTCCACCGGGTTGTGAGCACAAATTCTACCTCATGAGCGAAAAAACCTAGCAGCATTAAAGTTGTGAGGGAGTCTACATTTGACTATTGCTTAAATTAGTTTTTTAGAAGATGATTTCCATAACCTTGTAAAAATCTCAGAATGAATTATTTTAAACTATATTTAAACTATATTTTAAGAATAATTTAAACATTATAAGAGAACACAAAATCAAGCCAAATTTCATTACAGAAAATGTTGTCCTCTCTGGGGATAGATCAGGCCTCTGGAGAGGCCTGTCTACACAGGAAGGGCGGGATATAAATGGAAAATAATAAGCAGATAAATCAATAAACAGGTTTACCCTTCCTTTTGCACTATATTGGTAGACCTGGCCTCCGGAGGTCTACTTACACCTTTCCACTATATTGGTAGACGTGGCCTCTGACTGTCACCCTGCACTGAGCCTTAGAAAACAGGGGCGGCAGGGGCGGGGGTCTTGCAGTCCACTTTCGGTTGTGTGTGTTTTTTAAGTGAAATATGGCAGATTTACAGGCTAAATATAACAGAGGTGGAACAATCACTGTCAGAACCCTGCCTAACCTAACAAACGGGAAGTTGCTGAAATGTTATCAATCTTCCCAAACTACTAATTTAATTAAATATTGATATCCCACTTTTCCTGTGACTCAAGGAAAAGCATAATAAAGGTAAAGGTTGGGGTGTGCAAAAAAATATTTTTTTTTCTTGCTCCATTATAGCCTATGAGGATCATTATAGTCGATGGGCCCCATAGGCTACAATGGAGAATTGATATGGGGGTATCTGGGGCTGGGGAGGGGGTTGAGGTAGAGGCATTAAATTTTCAGCATAGCTGCTGGTGCCTCTCCTCAAAAAACCCTCCAAATTTCAAAAAGATTGGACCAGGGTATCCAATTCTATGGGCCTTCTCATGATCAGCCTAATTTCACAGAATCAGCATTGCTGTCAGATGTCTCTGTTTAAAAACCCCACAGAAGGAGAGCCCACCACCTCCTGAAGAAGCCTGTCAAAAGAATGACAAACTTAGTTCCTGGTTGTCATTCTTTTGATCTGTTAAAAAAATGTGTCCTCACTATTTTGCATGCTAATTTAACAAGCCACCCCAATATATACAACTATGTTCTGTAATTCCATTTCATCATCTGACGAAGTGTGCGCGCAGACGAAAGTTCACACCTTGAATAAAACTTTGTTGGTCTTAAAGGTGCCTGACTGGACTCCAACTTTGTTCTATTGCTTCAGACCAACACGGCCCACCTTGAACTCCTCAGAGATGATAACTTTGTGTCACCATTTTGCTTTTGGCTGTGACTCTGTTCACAGTATGTGCCACTGTGTCAACCAAAAGTGGAGGGAATCCTTGTTTTTATTTGCATTCTGTGAATGTTGTTTTTAATGTGCAGTTGCTGTGCACTTTTCAATAAATAGATGTATTTTGTTCTGTGTTTTAGCTGCTCAACTTTCTAGGTTCCTAACTTGTTCTAAAACCTTCCCAGGTAGAGACGTCAAGCTGACAGGTCAGGAGTCACCTGGACCCTCCTTTCCCCCCTTCTTGAAGACGGGGACGACATTTGCCTGCCTCCCATCTTCTGGTACCTCATCTGTTCTCCAAGAATTCTTTAAAATAATGGACAGAGGCTCTGAAATTACATCAGCAAGTTCTTTTAATACCCTTGGATGCCGTTCATTTGGCCTTGAGGACTTAATTTGATCTGGAGAAACTAGGAGTTTATGTAGCACCCCTATGCCTTGTTTGCCTTGTCTTGTTTTCCTTTAAAACAGTAATAACAGCAGGGCAAATGTAGATTCAATTCATGAAACTGAGTGGAGGCTGAATCATTAAATCCCCGCTTCCCTTTCCCCAGAGCCCCGATCCCAGTTCTGGCTGCATGTGCCTGGCATTTACTTTTCACAGACTGACCAAGATCTGTGAACTTTGTTGCTTCAGTTTTGGCCTAACTCTTGGGACTGGTGTCAAGATGAAGAAGAGGAGACTGGATGTATGTCCCACCCTTCACTACCTGAAGGAGTCTCAGAGTGGCTTACAATCTCCTTCCCTTCCCCTCCCCACAACAGACACCCTGTGAGCAGTGTTCCCTCTAAGCTGAGTTAGTGTGAGCTAGCTCACAGTTGTTTAGCCTCCAGCTCACTCATTTTTGTCTTCGCTCAGGATGGCTCCAGAGCAAACTATTTTATTTTATTTATTTATTTTTCACATTTATATCCCGCCCTCCCCAGTGGGCTCAGGGCGACTAACAAGGGCAGGACAACAGCCATGCCAAAGGTAAAAACATATAAAAACATAATAAAACATTCAACATTAAAACCACTCCATTAGGATCCATTACTAATGTCCCAAGTCCGAGATGGTAACTCCACCGTTCCAGATGATACTCCCATGAAGTACGTGTCCAGTGCCGATGAACACAGATCTTCTACGATTTCCAGATTCTTCCTCAGGCCTCGTTGATGCCTCCTTTAAGAAGCCTTAACGCCCGGGGAGCTCGTTCCACCAGGTAGGAGCCGCCACCGAAAAAGCCCTGGCCCTGGTCACAGCTAGTTTCACCTCCTTGGGACCTGGGATGACCAACAAATTTTGGGTCCCCGACCGTAGTGCTCTTGGGGGAACATGTGGGGCAAGGCGGTCCCTCAGGTAGGCTGGACCCTGGCCATATAGGGCTTTATAGGTAAGAACCAGCACTTTGAAGCGGATCCGGTACGCTATCGGCAGCCAGTGCAGCGCTTTCAGCACAGGCTGAATATGGTCCCTGCGAGAAAGACCCATCAGCAGCCTGGCTGCAGCATTCTGCACCAGCTGCAGCCTCCGGATCTGCGACAAAGGCAGCCCCATGTAGAGAGCGTTACAATAGTCTAGCCTCGAGGTGACCGTCGCATGGATCACTGTGGCCAGGTCTTCTCGGTCAAGGTAGGGGACCAACTGCCACGCCAACTGAATATGGTAAAAGGCTGACTTGACAGTGGCTGCCACCTGGGCCTCCATTGTTAAAGAGGAGTCCCGGAGCACCCCCAAACTCCTCACGCTAGACGCTGGCACCAAAGGCGCCCCGTCGAAGGTCGGGAGAGGGAGCCCTAACCCCACGCCGATCCGACTCAGGCCCAGGACCTCTGTCTTTGCCAGGTTTAGTTTCAATCGGCTCAGCCGGAGCCAACCAGCCACGGCCTCCAACGCCCGGTGGAATGTCCTCGGGACTCGAGCCCGATCGGCCACCCAGCATCAGATAGAGCTGGGTGTCATCTGCATATTGATGGCACCCAAGCCCATAACTCCGGGCAATCTGGGCAAGGAGGCGCATATAAATGTTAAATAGCATTGGGGACAACACCGCTCCCTGTGGCACCCCACAATCAAGGGGGTACCTATGGGATCGCTGGTCCCCGACTGCCACCCTTTGTCCCCAACCTTGTAGGAAAGAGGCAAACCATTGAAGGGCAAGCCCCAGAAACCCCACGTCGGCGAGGCGGTGGGTCAGCAGCTGATGGTCGACTGTATCGAACGCGGCCGACAGATCTAACAACAGCAGTGCCGCCACACCTAATTTATGCAGTGACCAAATCGCTCACTCACAACTTTAATGCCAGTAGCTCACAAAGTAGAATTCCTGCTCACAAGACTCCACAGCTTAGAGGGAGCATTGCCTGTAGGTAGGTGGGGCTGAGAGAGCTCTTTCGAGAACTGCTCTTTCAAGAACAGCTCTGACAGAACTGTGGCTTGCTCAAGGTCACACCAGCAGCTGCATATGGAGGAGTGGGGGATCAAACCCAGTTCTCCCAGATTAGAGTCCGCCCACTTAACCACTACACCAAACTGGTGTAGTGCTGTCCAAACCACAAGCACCAAGATCCCTGAGGCCTGTTTGGCGTGTCCAGATGGCAGCTTTCCCCATGATTTGGAGCCGTATAAATACGCCCATCATTGAGGACGGGAGTGTGGAGGAAAAGAGGCCCTGACTGGCTCGGAGACCAACAGCCTCCTCCTCAGGATGGAACAAAGCGATGGACACAACAGGAAGCCATGACGTGGTCCCTACTCTCTTGGAGCACATTTGTGACATGGTAGCATTCAGAGTTTCCCTGCCCCACTTCCCTTGGAAGGCCCAGGAGCTTTGACAGGGAGACATCCCAGGAGGAGGTGGACTATGTGCCTCCAGAGGGGTGACAGAGAGAACAGACGTGGGGCTGTGGCGCTTGGTGGCAGCCGGGCATTCACCTCTCTGACTAGCTCTGGCAGAAATTGTGTCTGCTACTGTGGACGTTGCTAGCCCCTGGCCTGCTGTTTAGACCTGGCAGAGTTAGCACAGGAGGCTCCCTGGGGCAGTGAATCAGTGTGAGACATGCCCAGAAAGAGCCCCCCCCCCACTGGGACGAGGAACAGCCGCCCCAGGGAGGCACGCCTTGCCCTCCCCCTCACTTTCACTCTTTCAGAGGCTGCTGAGGACGGTTTTATTAGTAGGAGTCCTGCATAGTGATTGTTAATCTTGGTTTTATGTTTTTAATGAATTTTCTCCTATGGGTTTTATCTCTGTTTGCAAGCCCCCTTGAGCTCCACAAGGATGAAGGCAGCTCATAAATATTTTAAATAGAATAAGTGACAGAACTTGGCAGGCAGGTCTGCATCCGGGTGGGGCCCACCTGGGGCCCCTCCGTGCACGGCCTGGAGGGTCACGACAGAAGGGAGGCGGGGCATCGATGTACAAAATCAGTCCTCATGAGAGGAAGGTTCCGTTTGCAGGAAACTGCGGATCAAAGTGAGGGAGGGAGAAAGAAATCGTTGCTTCCCACCAGCGAGGGCCATCTTGGGGGAAGTCCTCAAGAAGTCCTTCCACCTCGGCCTGTGCTGGAGTGTCCTGAGGAGCATCCGTCTGGATGGCCTCTTGGCCAGACATTTTAACATAAGAACATAAGAGACGCCAATGTTGGATCAGGCCAAAGGCCCATCCCGTCCAACACTCTGTGTCACACAGTGGCCAGAAATACTAGGTGCCATCAGGAGGTCCACCAGTGGGGCCAGGACATTAGAAGCCCTCCCACTGTTGAACCCCCCAAGCACCAAGATGACAGAGCATCACTTGCCCCAGAGTCCCTATCTATACCTTGTGGCTAATAGCCACTGATGGACCTCTGCTCCATATGCTTATCTAATTCCCTTTTGAAGTCATCCATGCTTGTAGCCGCTGCCACTTCCTGTGGCAGTGAATTCCATGTGTTAATCACTCTTTGGGTGAAGAAGTACTTCCTTTTATCCGTTCTAACCCGACCGCTCAGCAATTTCATGGAGTGCCCACAAGGAGTTCTTGTATTGTGAGAAAGGGAGAAAAGTACTTCTTTCTCGACCTGCTCTATCCCAGGCATAATCTTATAAACCTCGATCATGTCACCCCTTTTGGGCTTTCCCCCGGGTTGTCCTGAGTCTGACATATAGCCAACATCTCTAGTTCTGCTCGTCAGGAAGGCTTATAGGACGCTCCATCAGCTCCCCCGAGACTGTCTCCTTCACACCCTTCACCAGTGGCTGGGTGCCTACGGCCGGGGACTGAGAGCGTACCCCCCCCCTCTCGAGGGACTGGTAGGCAAGCTGAAGCTCAGGGAACGGGTGCTGATCCAAAGCCTTCTACTTGGGCTATCACGGAGTAAGGTTTTCCTCTAGTTGGAAGATCAGACTCTTACCTGAGTGTGTGAGGTTTTTCATCATATGTCTTCCAGTCGTGCTACGTCTCCATTTCTATGGCAAGAGAGGAACCCCGGTGGCAACCTGGAAGGGCAGGCAGAGCAATGGTGTCACCCACCGTCGCTTCCCACAGACGGTCACAAAATGCCGTTTCAGAAACCTGACGGGCACATCAGGAAAACGTCATCCTAGAGGCGTGGTCACACGAGCCGTTTGCTGCGGCGGTATATTGGCTCTGAATAAACAGCTTGAGTTTAGGGCAATTTGCATGGACCACACAGCTTCCCCTAAGCTGGCATCATAGTGCCGCGGGCCCGTGGCTGACCATTCACATCGCTACTGCACCACAACCACGGACCCATGGCTGGGTTGGTTGTTTTTGTCCCTGAGTCCCGCTGTGGGTGAGCAGAAGCAGACAAGTGCACACGCACTCCTGGAGGTGTTCTATGGAGTGCACGTTGGAGTGGGGTTAGGGGGGGGAAGGATGCGCCGGAAACGGAGTAGAACAATCACACCGCTCATGCGTTTCCATGGTGCACCCGGGCAATCAGACGCCTGGAAACCTGCCATGGAGGCACCTCGCCAAGGTAACCACCTGTCAGGGGCGGCGGCAACAGCACTGAGTCCCCCGCCCGAGTTGGCACCACAGCCAGACGCACCAGCATTGCCAGAGCCAGCAGCTGGCCCTTCTGACTCCACCAGTGCCTGAAAACCCCACACCTGGTCCTGCAGCAGCCGAGGAGGCACAGGTGCAATTGGGGAGCCCACCTGACTCACCTCTGTGGGTGGTTCAGCTAAGGGAGCGGCTCCATAGAGACTTAGCCACCCACCATCGAGATGCACGCCGGCAGGGAAGGCGAGCGCCAAGTCCTGAGTATTAGCAGGAGCAGCGCCGCCACCATAGGAAGCCCGGGTGGAGGCCTATATAGCTCCCACTCGGCATTGAGCTCCCGTGGAAGCAACGAGTCGCCTCAGTGCGTGCCTCGCATCCTCCTTTGGCTCCTGTCCCCACTCTGGCTTGGATTCCTGGCTCCCCGACCCCTGCTTCGGACAACCCCTCTTTTGGACTCCCGATTTGGCTCTCGCTCTGACTCTCCTGGCAACGACCTCGGACTGGACGTGACTCCCGCCTCTCAGCCCAAGCCCAGCCCGTGACACCACCAGAATTTGCTGGCGGCTATTTAATCTGCATGGGAGCCATTTTAGCGCGAGGTGTGGACTGGGCACAGGAGCCAGATGTTCACGTCTGATCGTGCCCACTGGATCCGGAGGGGAGGGGTGGCCGTGTTGGGCCTGACTGCCCGGATAATCCCATCCTCTGTCCCCTCCCCATTGTGGACCGGCACTCTCCCTTTTGCAAGCCAAGAATGGACTTCAGTGGTTGGCATGAGGACAGAAGACGCTCCTGCTCTCAGACCACCTGGCCCCCAGCCCCTCTGTGAGCTCCACCCCCGGCCAAGACAAGGAGGAGAAGCACCCGTCTTGGCCAGCTGCTCAGACAGACAACCCAAAGGAGGCGCAGCCCGGCTGCGAAGGAAGCTTTTGCTGACTGCCACGGATCTTCCCAATGGCCTTCAGTCACATGCTCTCCTCTTAAGCCACCTCACAGGATTGTTGTGAAGATAAAGCAGGCAAGGAGACCGACGTGAGCTGCTCTGGGACCCCGCTGGGGAGACAGGCAGGAGCACAAACGAAGTTTTAAAAACTAAGGGAGAAAGTCTGCGGCTGTTGTGGAGAGGCGCCAAAAACGGGCATAAGAATGACAGAGGAAGGAGTTGTGGAATTGTAATGAGAAGAGATGCCTGCAGAATGCTAGACTTGAATTTTTAAATCGTTCTGCATTTTTCATTTCTTCCTTCCTTTCCCCTTCCCCCCTTTCTGTATATAAACTAATAAAAATATTCCGAAAAGAAAAGAGGGAACGGCCGTGTAAGGTTAGTTTACCCTCCGTTCACATTCGTATGTGGCAGCAGAGTTTAGGTGGGGACGAGGTCCAGGGTGTCACCAAACAAAGATGGTTCTGCTGGGAAGGTCCAGGTCTGTCTCCACTGGAGTGGGATGTTTGGGGTTTATCGTTTGTTTGGAGATTTAAACAAGTCTCATGAGGCCAAATTTTAAAAATTTGTATGTATGTGCTTATGCCTTTGTAAGCCGCCCTGAGCCCGCTTGCGGGGTAGGGCGGGGTAGAAATACCTGAATAAATAAATAAATATAAAATAAATAAAAAAATAAAGAATGGTTGGCTGAAGGGGGGTGAGTGGGCAGGGAAGCTGGTGGCCAGAGGCAGCAAAGGAGAGGAGGGAAATCCAATTACATCATTCTGCGCTCTCTCTCTCTCTCTCTCTCTCTCGTAGGGTGGGTGAGTGGGTGGGTGGGGAAAGAAAGCTGGGGAAAGCAAGGAAGAGACAGAGAGGAAGAAAGAAGGGGGGGAGGCAGGAGGGGCCGCAGAAGATCCTCCCGTCCATCCAGCTCCCCAGGTGGGAGAGAGAAGCGACGTGGGTGGGGGAAGCTAAGAAAGCCTCCTCCGTCTGTCCGGCTTCCCGGGCGGGTTGGCGAAGTGGGGTGGGGGAGGGAAATCCGGCCGCGGCGTGGGGCGCATTGCCAGCGCGTCCTCAGACAGGGCTCGGCTCCCACCTCCCAGCCCATGGCAGGGCAGTAGCCTTGAACGGCAGCTGGGCGACACAGCCAATGGAAGGTGGGGAAGCTTCCAAAGACCGTTTGGTGTGCATTTTCTCTCTGCTGCGTGAAGCTGCGTCTGAGGTGGGACGTAGGCGACAGGGCCAATGGAAGCCGGGGAAGGTTTTGACGGACAGTTCAGCCATCGAAACACTGTTGGTGTGCATTTTCTCTCCTCTGCGTGACTCTGCATCTTATTCAATTATATATAAGGGAGATTATATATATGTGTGTGTGTGTGTGTTGTGTGTGTGTGTGTGTGTGCTGATCGTCCTCATTGGCCCTCGCCTTCAAAAGCCGTGTTGGTCTGAAGCAACAGAACAAAGTCTGAGTCCAGCAGCATCTTTAAGACCAACAAAGTTTAATTCTGGGTATAAGCTGTCATTGTGCATGCATCTGAAGAAGTGTGCATGAACACAAAAACTTACACCCAGAATTAAACTTTGTTGGTCTTAAAGGTGCCACTGAACTCAAACATTCCTTACAAACAAGTTTGCGGCTGCAGTCACACTGGCGGCTCGGCGCAAGATGGTGGCGCCACAAGTCGCCCTGGCTTAAAGTGTAGCGGAACATTTCATCCAGACCGCACACCCTGTGGCAGGTTACCCACGCAGCCGTCCGGCAGAGGAGCATCCACATTACTGTTGCGCTTCAACCATGGGATGAGCTGTAAGGGTGGGTTTTATTTAAATGCAGGCGGATGGATGTGCATATGCGCTCATTGCCCAATTAGGCAGAAACTACAAAAAAAAAAAAAAAACAGTGGCAGAAACGGATTTGCAAGTTTAGGCATCCCTTCTGGGTTGCTTTTGCTGCAGGAGAGTTCAGATGTTGGAAAAACCGAGTGGAAGCGCTCCTGCCCCTTACTGCCAGACTTTCCCTGGTGCCTGAATACTCCGGTTCTAAAGCAGAGCGGGATGGGCTGCTCACGACTGGCCCACCGGAGGCAGACACCATTGTCTGATCAGGCCCTTAAAACCCACAAAGGTAACACTGGCATGTCGTGACAGAACTGCCGGTGTGACTGCAGCCTGTGTTTCAGTGGCTACAATATTCATTTCCCCCCCCCCTTTTCTGCAACAGCCTAGCGGGGTTCCCCTTCTACACTGTATATATCAGGGATTAAATTTCCGTGCACACACAACTTCCTGACCATGGCTGTCGTCGTCCAGCCCGTCTTCTTCCCACTGCTCCTCATTCGCCAGCAGTGGATTCCGAGCTTCGCTCAAGGTCCTGGTCGGGAAGAAGTGTCCATCACCCTGACTGTGGAGACAAAGGGAGCGGACTTCATTCCAGGGGAAAAGGAGAGCTTCTTGCTCCATGGGTGACGCGTTCCGTCTGTACTCCCCCCCCCATCCCTGAGCACTGGGCAGAACAGCAGCCCCTTGAGGCCACGGGGGGGGGCTCCACACATACTAGGGCCAAGGCCCACGTGAGGCCCCACACTCCTGGAGGAGGTGACACTATAAATGATATGCGGCACATGTTTCTTCTTTTCCCAAAGAAAGATGCCAGAGCAGCTTTCAACACTGGTCTAGAAGGAGTACTGCGGGGACGAGGGACCACATGGAGCTTTGTCTAAAATGGACCTCTCCGTCTCAGGGATGCCAGCCTCCAGGTGGGGCCTGGGGATCCCCTGGAATTACAGCTCATCTCCAGACTACAGAGATCAGCTCCCCTGGAGAAAATGGGTGGGCTCTGTGGCATTGGACCCTGCGGAGGCCCCTCCCCAGGCTCCACCCCCAAATCTCCAGGGGTTCCCCAGCCTGGATCTGGCAACCCGACCCCCCATCCTATGTTGGTGGCCAGGCAGCCCCACACACCCTATCCTTCCCTCCCACCCCCTTCAGCCCCAGAGCAGGCAATGGCGGCTTCCCTTCCCTTCCCAGGTCCAGCCCTAACCCTCCTCAGGCGAGGGGTCCCCTCCTGCTGGCAGCAGCTCCTCCCCCCCCCCCGGCTCTTCAGAGGGACCTTAGATTGTTTCTCTCAAGGCCCTGCCTCCTTGGTGATGACTGGCCTTCCTCTTCCCCCCAATTTCACCCCAGTCCAATCACATGGCTCAAAGGGTGCCCGGGGGAAAGGTAGGCCGGGAGGGGAAATCCTGGCGAGGCTTCAAGCCTCCCAGCGGGAGAGAGGCTTCCTTGGGGCCTACAGGCTGCTCAGCTGTAGGCCCAGGATCAGGACAAGGAGGGAATTCGGGCAGAGGCAGCCAGCCCGAATCAGCTGAATCAGATTACTTCTCTCCAGTTTGAAGAAGACGCTTGACAGCCACACAAAGAAAATGGCCGTGGTGCCACCGGATCAGCCCAGTGACTGAAGACTGACGGGACATTCCACGACCTGCCGGCGGTTTCCTCTTATCTTACCTGGAGGCAACAGGTAGGAGCCAGAGGCTTCTTTCCTCTCCAAACACCTGCTGGAGATTCTTTACAAAGCCCAGGTTGAATCCATTCTTATCAGGGCCATTCTGGAACACAGGAGCCGAGAAAGCTTCTGCACACAAACACACACGGGGATTACTTATTGTGTGCCACCTCTGTCCTGCTTTTACTTCGACAGGCACATGATTCAGGGAGAGTGGGGGGGGGGAGGCAGAGAGAGAGAAAGAGAATGTCTGACACTTGACTGTCATGGCTGGGTGAGGACTTGAACTCGGGGCTCCCAGAGCTGGGTCCAGCACTGAACCACCACACCACTCTGAAGGAGATTCTGTGAGATCCCCTGTCTGTATTATGGCATTATAGCTAGCTGGGGGAAAGCTGCCTTTCATTTTTTTGCAGCAGTGGTGGGCAGCTTGAGGCTACTTCTCACAAACAACCCTTCAAGCTTAAACAGGCTTAGACCCCTCTCGACTGCAGCTCCCACAGCGGAGCAAAAATCTGAACCCAAGACTCCATAGTCAAGTTCACCGCTCCGTCCTCTACATTACACTAGAAGGTGTGTCACCTGTGTGGTGGCTGACCACAGCATCCACAGTAGTCCACATGAGTTTGGACTCTCTCTTCCCAGTATGGGAACCACGGCTGCCACACCTAGTGAGTGGGCATCTAAAGGCAGCAGCCAAATCCATTCCGCTTTGTATCCGTAATGTGTGCCTGCACACAGTACATTGGCTGGCTCTTTGAAGCTTACCAAAGAAGCACTCCTTCCACCCCCACCAGGTAACCCTGTAGGGTATGGGGGACGTCTTACCCAACGTAGATCTGTTCTGGCTTACAAGCCAACAATGGTAGCCAAAGAGGAAAAGGAGGCTGACAAAAAACATGATGGCCACAAAAAGCAGGAAAAGGACGTGGAACTTGGAGCGGCCGTTGGTCAGCTCCCCCTAGGAAGGAAAGCAAGACGGGTAAACACAAACCCAGACCACATCAAGGCATGACACTTCTCTGGACAGATTATGACAGGTCTTGCACAACTGGGGAAGAGACAAAGAGCCCGAACAGGCAGTGTGGCAGAACAGGCCTGCTCCGGCCTGCAGGCCCTTTTCCACCTAGGGGTTCCCAACTCCCTGGAGGGCCTTCCACTCTTGGGTAGCCCAACACCACCAGCTGCCCTTTTTGCAAGGAACTGCCCGCTGGGAGAGACTGGACTCCCGGCTTCCTTTCCAAGTTCTGAGGCCTTGCCTCTGTGTTTCCCGCTGCCCAGCGCCTGGGCCCCACAGGGACAGATTACTGCCTTGTGTGCCCCTGGGGGAAATGGCCACTTGCCAACTGCCTGCCTTCCCCCCTCCTGGCACTCCTTTTAAAATAGCAAATTCGAGATGGTGGAGGCCTATGTGGTACAGAGAACCACGTCCAGCATCAAAAGTTATGAAGTACTTATTAAAAAGAAAAGCATACTTTTATCACAGCACCAGACTGAGAAAGGAATACAAAAGAACTTGGTCACAAACACAAATCCTCTGTCCTTCTCACTACACGTGCCCAATTGATGTTTAAAATAGGACAGGCTCCTTAATAGGCTTACCAAGGTCCGGTGGGGGAATTGTATTTCCTGGCAGGATCCTTGCCGCGGGGATGGCTGCACGCGCTGCACCCGCCGTCGCCAGGATGTGACGCTCCGCGTCGCTCTGGCAACGGGACGCCAAACAGCCCCGTTGCCAGAGTGACACGGAGCGTCACATCCTGGCGACGGCAGGTGCAGCGCGTGCAGTCGTCCCCGCGGCAAGGATCCTGCCAGGAAATACAATTCCCCCGCCGGACCTTGGTAAGCCTACTCCTTAAGCTTAGGAAGTTACAAATCCCTACAAAACATTACCTTGAAAATCCCTCCTTTTGTAGGCAAGCACATGGTCAATGGCTGCCTGCCTGCAGACTGCAGCTCAGAGTCCTCCTGAATGCAGCATCCCAAAGAAAGAGAGCCCCTCCCTGTTGCCAGGAGGTTTTATCACCTCTGCTTCCCCCTCCCACTTGACCTGGTCAGGCCGGCCCAGAGACGTGTTTCCTCCAGCTCCTTCCTGGAGATTATCCCTGGAGTTGTTCTAGCCCAAAGTCCTCCAAACTCTGTTCCCTGCCTGGGGAGGGAGAGAAGTGAAATGCTTCGCCATCCCATTATCTCTAGCTCGACCCATTAGCATTTCTTAAGAGTTGAGCATGGAAAGCCATGGACAGACTTCCTCCTTCCCAGCCTGTTTTCTGCCCAGAGAAAGGAGGGGGGAAACCTGGTCAAATGCCAGGTGGAGGCTTTGCTCCCTGCTGACCTCCCAGGAGAACCTGCATTTCCCCACAGGCAGCCCAGGTCTGGAGGGCCAGGGCCAGCCTGGTTCAGGGCGAGGCAGCTTCATATGCTCCGCCGTGAATATAAGGGATGCTCACTTGTGGGAACAAACTTGTTTTTCAGTACAAAACTAAGTCTCCATCTTTTAAAAAATTGGCCAAAGCCTCCAATTCCCTGAGATTTTCTGCTTTCAAGGCCCAACTGCCCTGTGTTTTCTGTTCTGACGAGCAGGGATTTCCCAGGGGCCCGGCATGGTCAGTGGGTTGCCAGGGATGGCATCCGAGAGCTGCATGCAAAGAACACGCTCTGCCTGTTGCTTTTGTGTTTCAAGGGTGTGGGATATGAGTGCCCAGAATCCAAAACCTACCGTCCAAAACTTGATGAAATACTTGAAGACAGTAGCAGCGATGTACATGCAGTACAACAGAGAATATGCTAAAAATAGTAGAAAGAACTTGTAATTGGAGAATCCAATGCAGTTGTTCACCCTACAGAGCAAAGGATAAGAATAGCAGAACTGAGAACTGTTCTGTATAAATCCAAATCCAAGTGAAAACAAAGACCAGCACATGGGTGATCTCAGAAGAGCCCTGCTGGATTAGAACAGTGTTCTGTCTCGTTCAGCATCCCATCTCACACGGTGACCAACCAGTTCCTCTGGAGGGACAACAGGGCATGGAGGCCGAGGCCTTCCTCTGATGTGGCCTCCTGGCTCTGGGATGCAGAGGCTTGCCTGCCTACCCCCCCTTGCTGCCTCTGCATGTGGTGGTTCCCCTCAGCTACCATGGCTAGTAGCCACTGACAGACTTATTCTCCATGAATCTATCTAATCCCCTTTGAAAGTTGTTTCTTCCATCCTGTGGCCATCACTCCATCCTGCAACAGCAAATCCCACATTTCAATCACTCTCTGTGTAAAGTAGTATCTCCTCTTGTCTGTCCTGAAACTACTGCCCATAAGCTTCATTGAGTTCTAGTATTTTGGGAGAGGCATAAAACGTTCCCCTTCTCCACTCTCTCCACCCCATGCATAACTTTGTAAACCTCTATCATGTCCCCCCTCAGTCGTCTCTTCTCTAAACTGCCTTTCCTTCTAGGGAAGGTGCTCCGGCCCCCGAATCATCTCCCCAGTTCTGCAATGTCCTTGTGGAGATACAGGACACAATTGGCTGGCACAATTGGTTCTGTCCACCGCCCCTAGAAAGCATGTTCACTTTGGCACTCCAGTCCCGTGCAAGAGACCAGTCCAATAGTCATGTGCCCATTAAGAGAAAAGCTCTGAAAGACAACACCAGCCGTGGCCAGAATTCCCTCCTGGGGTTTAAATCCCCTCCGGACTGCAGAGTGCTCAGCCATGAGATGTTGCTTTGTTGGTATCGAGCAGCCATTGGACACATCTGGAATAACGATTTCACACCAAAAAACGGGAATATGTTCAAGACTTGCACAGAATGTGTCTGGATGAAATGTCACCCAGTTCTAATTTTCCCATGTTTGGTTTTGGCTACGATCCTAAACATCAGGAAACCAGACAGGCTGTCCTCGGAGGAAAGTTCCACTAAGTGAATATATTTAGAGTTAGGCGACTTAGGGCATTCCCAGCCTCTCATGTGAAGTGCGTGAAGAACACGGCCAAGGCTGGGGGACCCAGAGAAATGCAGCTGTCGCTCAGCTATTCCAGGAGGTCTCTCTCTGCAATGTAGCACATCTGGATACATTTTCCACTTGCACAAAGTTTAAGACCAACAAAGTTTAATTCTGGACGAAAGTTTAATTCTGCACGAAAGCTTAGACCCAGAATAAAATCTTGTTGGTCTTAACGGTGCCACTGGACTCATAGGCTGTGTGCTTTCCCTCTCCAATGCCTTTGGATTTAGAACAAAAACTTTGGTGACTTTTACTTCCCTTCCTTCCAAAGTCACTGAAACTGATCGAGCGGATTACAAAGCCCCGCCCCTCCAACGACGCCTGAGTGCTGCAGGGGCTCATGGGAGGATCATGCAGAGGCAAAGGAGGGGTATGCAACATGCTGTATGTGTCCATGGCTGCCCCCTACCCTGTGTTTGTGTGGCAGCAGCACCAGGGATGCAAACTGCAACTTCCGGAGTCAAGAGCCACGGTCAGTGGGGCGGCAGGGCAGCTGCAAACAATTCAGCTCCTGAACCTCCATTCCCCACCTGAAAATGATCAGGTCTGGCAGTCCAGCCTGTGGTTACCAGTCTCTTCCCAGTCGTCCCTCCTGCTTTGGGAAGGAGAGCGCCAGGGTCTGAGAAATCCACCAGTGTCTTCTCAGCTGAGTGAGTGTGAGCCCGGCTCACAGTCTTTTAGCCTCCGGCTCACACATTTTTGCCTGAGCTCAGGAAGGGGTGGCTCCAGAGCGAACTAATTTATGCAGCAGCCAAATCACTCGCTCACAACCTTAATGCCAGTAGCTCACAAAGTATGATTTCTGCTCAGAAGCTTAAGAGGGAACATTGGTGTCCACCCCACATTCTCCACTCAGCTGGCGCTTTGTCGGAAGCCCACCAAGTCAGTATTTCCATGAATGAGATTGAAAGCTGCCCACCAAATATGCATTGAGAGCATGGAGAGGCCAAGTACTGACGCAGCTCACACTCACGTACCAACCCAGAGCTACTCCAGGTACCTGTAAGGCACATTAGCTCACACTCACGTACCAACCCAGAGCTACTCCAGGTATCTGTAGGCACATTAGCCAAGGAGCTTCTGAAACCTGGACCCAAAGTCTGAATTTCAAACTATGTAGGAAGAGTAGGATGGTAAATTAAATAAATAAATAGCATAGTTCTCTGTCCCGTATGCTCTTTAGAACGACTTCATAAACAAGGACATTCCGAGAAGACATCTGCAGCTACCCAGGGATGAACTGAAAGGCCAGAGAGGGGTCGGGAGCCGTCCCTAATGAAAAGCCAAACCAGCCAGCATCTACTCACCAGGGGCAGTGATGGTCCATCTTCAAAACACACCTGTGCAAAGAGAAGAGAGGGCAGTGAAGAGAATGACCAGTTGTTCTTTCTTCAGGGAGACCTGAAGCCCATACCACGGTTCAGTGTGTGAGCCAGGGTTGGGGCCTAACCTCCTCTCTGACTGGATGGTTGTAGGCAAGCCCCCTTCGGCCCCTCCCCCACCTCTCTCAGCCTCACGTCCCCTTCTGTAACAGGGGCACGATAATCCTGGTCTACCTTGCATGAGTGTATCCGTGAGAAAAGTGCTTTGAACAAGGGACACAACACACGGCATTCTTTATGAAGTTCTCTGTGTGTCTGCTCTGCTCTGTGTGTGTGTGTGCGTGTGCAAGCCCAGCGAGGGAGGCCGGTGCAAGCGGGCTTATGTGCAGGTGCCTCATGAACAAGCACATCTGACCCCTCACTGGGTGTGCCTTCTGAAGCAGACAGGACTCCTCTGTTCTGCACTCGGCTTGACCAGTGAGGGCTAGAGACAGATCCGAAGAATTCTTGTCATGAGTATTTTCCAGGGTAACAGCAGCCCTTTCCCCTCACTAGGCTTTGGTACAACCAGAGTTCTTTTGCACGCAGCACAGACTAACTTTCAGCACAATTCTAAGTAAGATTGTATGCGTGTAAAGCACTGTCCAGTCGCAGCCAACGTAGGGCGGCCCTGTAGGGTTTCCAAGGCAGGAGGCATCAGGGCGTTACACCCAACTAAATCGGTTGAAGTCGATGCGCTTAGAAACGGCCGTCCCGTTTTGCATTGATTTTTACAGCAGATCCACAAGACTACAAGGGTAACTTCAGCTAATTTTCATGATGGAAATAACACCTCCAGGAGCCATATGGTAGCAATTTCCCCCACTCTTCAAAGGAGCTCTTAATCTTCTCTAGGACCATTTCATTGTCAACACTCTGACTTTTACGCTCAACAAATGGTTTTTAATATTACTATATTTTAACTATTAGGGAAGGTGGGAGAGAGAGTTCTCTATCTCCCCCAAGGTAATCCACCAGTGAGTTGTCTATTAGGCATCTCACTAGCCTGACCCTCTCTTAGTCAGTCAGGCCTTTTTGGGTTAGGCCCATTGTTTTCAATGTCTTTATGTTATCTTAAATTAATTTGAAATTCTTAATGTTTTGATCTATTGCATTTTATTGTTTCTACTCGTTGTAAACCTCCCAGAGAGCTTCAGCTATGGATGGTATAGAAATGAAAATAATAATAATAATAATAATAATAATAATAATAATAATAATAATAATAATAATAATAATAATAATAATGAATAAAAATAATAATAATCTTTCAATTTATTAATCGCTCAATCCTGCAGGGCTTGCTGGCTCTGAGCGATTTACAGTTACTCATTCACGCGGGACTAACAATGATTTATGGGGGTAAGGGAGGACAACATATATCTTTTAAATCACACACATTCACAGTCAGCGAGGGTTTGTTCAGCTGCAGGGTCAGACGTGTTCCGTCGGCATATTCACTTCGGCTTGGCTAGATGACGTCAGCTTCTCCAGGTCTTGCAGCACCGCACTGCCACCGCCTGGCCGGAATAGCCCATTACAGGCTTCTCGGAGTCGAAGAGATTTTTTCTTAGGCTTTCAATCTTGCAAGCTGAGCATTCCGGTCGCCGGCTAACACCTCCCCCACCAGGGTTTTTTTTGGTGTACCCACCCTCTCTAAGGAGTGGTACCCATTTTATCTACTCGCCGAAGCTTTCAAACCGCTGGGTGGACGGCGAGCTAGGGACAAGGCTGGTAGCTCACACCAACACGGGTCTAGAACTGACAGCCGTACTGTTCAGCTCAAATGTTACTAACCAGAGGATAAATCCTCTGTGCCACCGCTCCCCATTCTCACTTTATTGAGAATTGTTCTTAGGTTAGTTTGAAAAGTTAGTTATGTTTGTAAGTTTTATTGTTGTATATGTTATTCCATTGCTAACAATGTTCAAAACAATTAAAAACGCTAAAAACGGTGACATCTACCCTAAACTTTGATTTATGAGATATGAAAAATCTTCAAAGAAAGGCGTAGCTCTGTTTAGGATTGCACTGTTTGTCTACAGGAAATTCCCTGATGCTCCTATGTGGACCCCTGGGCCCTGGATGAACAACACCTTTGCCTCTTCCTCTCCTGCTTTCTATTCAGCATCTAGCTCAGGGAAGAGGACAGGGTCACTTGAAAGCTAGCTGACTGTTGGGTGCCTTTGACTGAGTTCTAACAAAAGTATCACAACGATGATATAATAAAGGGGACCGCTGCAGTGTGAGACTGCAAGACGTACACAATGGGTGGCATTTGTAAGCACCCTCCATATTCTCCCTGTGAGTAAAGGATTGACACCCGAGGGAGAAAGGCTCTAGCCCCACCCACTCACGGCCGCAGTGGTCGCCAGCGTGGTGCCCGTCGGTGCTGTGGCACCTGCTGACACCTTTTCTGGGCACCCCCCCATTTTTCGAACGTAGGTGGGGCTATGGGCCGGTAGAGATTTGATTGGCTGTGCAGATTTTTGAAAATGCTGCTTTGGCAGCAGCTGCCACCACAACAACACGATATCTTCATGGTATGACTGAAGGCAAGATGTACCAGCCATTTTGTGGCTGTGCCCACCGCCCTGCCAGAATCCCTAAGGCGCCCGGAGGCTCGGAAGGGCCGGGGACCTCTGCACTGATGTGTGAGTTTCCTGCCTCAGCTGTCGGCACCCGTTCTCTGTGGCTCGTGCAGACCAGGCCGGAGCCAGCAATCGCTCCAGGTACTCACGTGGCACAAACGGAACAGTGGTGGCAGCGGTCGGGTTTGATCAGCTGGCATCGGTCACAGAATCGGATGGCTGAGGAGGAGCACAAAAAGGCGGCCGTTAAGCTGGGCAGTCCCTGGCTCAAATCGCAGGGCTCGATCCTGCATACCTCTTGGGATGCGAACAGCAACTTCCGAGGGGAGAATTTAACACCCCCCACAGCCCAGATCCAGACCTCCTTCCTTGCGTCGTCTAGGCCAGGGATCCCCAACGGGGTGCCCGTGGGCACGAAGTAGGCTTGCTGGGCCCCTGGTTTACGCGAGGGTTCCCCAGATTTTGAGGGCTCCTTCCCACCGCCAGCGACCACCTGGCCACCCCTACTGCAAGATTTAAAGGGGTCTCCAACTGACCAGCAGGAACATGTGCCCCCCGATCCGCCAGAGGGCCCTTTAAATCTTGCAGGAGCGAGGGGGGAAGAAGGGTGGCTGTGTGCGCCCTGCACTCCAATCTGCGAATTCGTGGCTTGGAGTGCAGGCACAGGTGGCCTCCACCCACTTCTTCCCACCAGCATTTAAGGGGACCTTTTAAAGGCTTTTGGCAAGAAGTGTGGGGGGGGCACTGGTCCCCAACGTGATGACGTCACTTCTGCACAATGTCATCACATTGGGGATGTCCCTGCCCCCTCCAGTAAGGCCCCCCACTGGGGTCTTGGCAGGACCCAGCCACCCCAGCACCAAGGTGCCTGCTGACACATCTCCTGGCGCCCAGCAAGCGGGTGGGGGGGCAGGTGGGGCTTCAGCCCAGCAATGCTTCTGATTGCTCCCAGGAGATCTGGTTGGCTGTGCAGATTTTTTAACAGCAGCATTGGCAGAAGGAGCCACCATAGCACCAGGCTCTCCGTTGTGTGACTGGAGGCGTCTGCAGCAAATATTTTTCAACAGTGATTTCATTTGAAAAGGCATCCCACCCAAAGCAAAGCTTCTGCCTGAAATGCTGAAGAGTTACTGCCAGAGTGATACTCGATCTCAGTCCCTGACATCCTGTGGTTGGTTCTGCCTCTGGAGGGAGCCATTCTGTGGTGGTTGGACCCACCAGAATTCCAGTGGTGCCCATGGGGGGGGGGACCCCTGGTCTAGCTGCACTGCCCAGAGCTGAGACACAATCCACGTTCCCAGAGTCCAGAACAGGCAGAGGTGCAGGTAAGATACACACAAAGCAAGGAACATCTGTGGGATATTTTTAGTCCACCAAGAAGGCTGGGGAAGGAAGTTAGGAAGGAGATCCTTTCCAGCTAATCTTTTGCCTTCAGCTGGAACGTTCTTGAGACCCACATCTGCTCACAGCCCTTCAGGCTTCGCACACGAGGTGAGGCTGCCAGTAGGCACCACTCAGGCAGACGGATCTGGCAGACCTCAGCAAACTGACCTCCATTCACTGTTCTCGTGTAGACTGGCAGTTTCCGGGCCATTTCCATGAGGATCTGCCGCTGGGCTTCAGGCCTCTCTTCGTTCTCATACCGCTCTTTGTCTGAGTAGGACATTTGGAACTGGAAGCAGAAGAGAACCAGTCAGGTACTCCATGGGGGAAAGGGCAGCGGCAGCACACGGGCAGTTCACCATTGGTTGGAAAGGCCGCAGTCCAAGCCCATGGCCTCCGCAAGACAGGTTTTCACTTTGTCTTGGATGGGTTTTTGCTTCTGAGATAAGCAAGTCGGCATTCAGAGAGACTGAGTGGCGTTCTTTCACTACAAGGGGGTGACGTGCAGCAAAGCCAGGGCCCAGGGGGGAGGGGAGGGAGTGGGGCAGCCCCAGTGTGAGAGGGTGGGGCACTTGGCCAGCAGGCTCATCTTCTTATCTTTTCATAACCAACCCCCTTGCCTGCCCTTGAAGACAAGGCAGAAGACCTGAGAGAAATCACATCAATTTCAAATGAGGGGATCCACACTGTGTTTGTGCAACTGCCACCGGGGGTTGCCCATACACCAACACGTGGCATTTCGCAAGGGCAGCAGACCGTAAACCAGAACTGTGAGACCCTTCCCTCTGGGGAATCTTTGGAGATCACAAAGAAGCCGCCTTTTTGCTGGGAGCTGGGATTAGTAAGGTGCACGGGAGCAAAGGACCAAGAAAAATGCCACCCCCGCCTCCCATTTTTTTTTAGAGTGATCAGCGGTGAACCAGAAGGGGGCAGTCCTAGACCAGGAAGAGAGACAAGGTCAGCGGCTGGTCGGCTGCAGGCGGCCTCTGGGCCCCTTCAACAAAGCAGGCAGCACTCTGCTGGGACCCCTGGCGGCAAGGAGGGGGTGCAGCCAGCGTGGGATGGCACCCGGCCAGCAGCAGCGAGTGGGCAAGGGGTGTGTGCCCAGGCCTCAGAGGAGAGCCCAGCGTCCCTGGGGGAGGCACCAGAGGGAGGAAGCTTTGTCCCCTCCGCCCGGCAGGCTCCAGGAGTCCTGCTCCCAGCTCGCTCTCTCTCTCTCTCTCTCTCTCTCTCTCTCTCTCTCTCTCTCTCTCTCTCTCTCTCTCTCCGAGGGCCTGTGTGCCCGGCCCCCGCATGCGCTCCAGTTCGCCCCGTGCATTTCCTCCCTGCGACAGCCTGGCGGCTCCCCTGGGACCTCCACCCAATGGGTCTGTTCACTGCACGAGGGCAGGGGCAGGGACTGCCAGGTCAAGAAGCATGAGGCAGAAAAAAGAAAAAAATGACTCTGTCTTCAAAGTGAAAAAATTTCTTGAGCACCAACAACAAGATAAAGATGGATCTGAGAAACTGGAGGGCAACAAGGATGCAGAAAAAGATAAAACTGAGGAAAGTTCTACCAACTCTTCGTCGGCTGAATCCTTAGATTCTGAAGCAGGACTAGGGGCTACAGCTCCTAAGCCCCCTAAAAATAAAAAGGACTTTGAAAAGAGACGGAGAGGAAGGAAATAAGCAAAATAATGAAACTCTAATGGTCTGATAATGATCAGGAACTAATAATCTTGAACTAAGAAGCATACACTCTAACCAAATTTGTTTGTGAACACTCGCTCAATCTTCTATATAACTATTGTATTAACTCTCATGTATTACTACTTTGACAATAGGGAATTATCCTTACTTTAAACAATTGTATTAACGATCTCTCGCTACTTGTAGTTTTAGTTTGTTCCCATCCCCAAACCCTATAGGTGTGTAGTTTAGAAAAGCAATAAAAATGTTTAAAAAGAAGAAGAAGAAGAAGAAGAAGAAGAAGCACGAGGCCCAAAGAGCGGTGTGACCCTTGGCCCTTCCGGCATCCCCAGATGGGGGTGGGGTGGGGGGTTACCTTTTTGTCCGGCTGTTGAGGGGGAGTAAAGACAGACTTCCAGTAGGTCCAGACAAAGAACACGAAGATCACATGGAATAGTGTGAGGTAGGCCACTAAAAGAGAAGGAGGAGCTTATGAATGGCAGGGTGGCACCTCTTCCCTCTGCCCTCTTTGCTCGAACACTTGGCTGGCATGACAGGCTGCCCTTCAGAGCTTTGAGAGAAGGCCGCGTGTGAACCTCTCCCTCAGTCTGCCAAAGTCAATGAGAGAGAAATGGTTCGAAGAATTATCTCCCCTACCATAGATCCGGAGGAGTTAGCCACATTAGTCTGTTGCTGCAAAACAGTAAAAAGCCCAGTAGCACCTTTAAGACTAACAAACTTTATTGTGGCATAAGCTTTCAAGAAACACAGCTTTGCATCTGATGAAGAGAGCTGTGTTTCTCGAAAGCTTATGCTACAACAAAGTTTGTTAGTCTTAAAGGTGCTACTGGGC